TGCTTGTGTTGCCATCGGTTGCGCCAGGCCGCCGACCGGTGGCGCTGATCGCGTGCTGCAAGCGGCCCGAAATTCGCATCACTGCCCGAAATGTGCATCTAGTGCCGAGCACTGCGCTAAGCAATTACAGTTGAGTCTGCTCTCTGCTGAACGCGACCAATACTCTGGACACTAATTACTGTTCGATTCCTAACTCTAAGGGTGAACTCACACGGTGCAGAAAAAGACTGCGAAATAGAGAATACGTCATTGAAGAAACCAATCAGCGCTATTCCGAATAGCACTGAACAGCGCTGATTGGTTGTTTCAATGGGCGAGTTCAAAACGGCAAAGCGGCTAGGCATGTTTATCAAACGATTAAATATGATTGGTTGGATTTATAAGTAATAACCAATTATGTTCATTTGCTCGGCGAGCAGGCTAGCCGCTTTGTCAACTTGAACGCGCTCATTGATGCATTCTTTATTCCGCAGTCTTTTTCCGCATCGTGTAATTTCACCTTAAATCCTAATCTTTCCAAGTTGTTGATTGTTGACGGTGGGTTCGAACGTTGAAGACCGTAACAGCACAAAGTTGACTTTAAGTCGACTCTAAGTCGACTAGAGCTTCTAGACGTCTGAAAATGGACGTCCGTACATCGACTTTAGACGACTTGGGGACGTCTCTAAGTCATACAATGTCCCACTTTAAAGATGACTGTAAGTCGACTTTAAGTCAATCATCATACAGACATTCTAGGATGTAGCGCGCATGCGCACCTTGCAATGGCGGAAATATTTAAATCGGGAAAATAGGTTATATTTTTCTTACGGCGTTTTCCGTTGGAACTGCACCCATGCAGTGTTTCCATATAAAGCGGGGAGCACAGATTCTTGCATAACGCATAACACGTAATGCATAAGAAAATGTACCAATCAAAGCCCTCCGTTTCCTTCCTTTCCATGAAATAAAGAATTCTGATTGATTGAATTTCTTATGCATTACATGTTATGCGTTATGCAAAAGTATGTGCTCCCCGCTTAAGAACATGTTCAAATTTGCACATATTATAATTATAACATTATATATATGGAAATACTACTGCGCAGTTCCAAGGAAAAATACCATTAGATTATTATTTATAAAAATCAGTAAATTATACTTAAAAAATATATATAATTATTTGTATTTATATGCAGGTTACATTTATATATACTTAATATTATTTATATTTATCCATAAAAACACAAAAATTAAGCTTACACGGATAGCTCAATTAATATGCGATTCTTCATTTTTTTACGATAAGGTAATTAAACTACGCAATTAATGGCCTAGTAATAGAACACGCTTCTTAAATACTAGAGAGAAATTTGAAGTGAGAGGAAAGTATGCTATTTTAATACAAAATGTTCAAGTATTTATAGTCATTATACTTAAATAGCTCAATGTTCTCATTAAGTCTTTGCTTCTAAATTATGTTTTGTAATCTTGAAGTAGCTAAGACATAAAATACTTATAAAATTATTTGTTTAAATATTTTATTGCAAAAAACGACTACCATAACATATAAAACTAAAGGTGATATTTATCACAAAAGTATGTAGAAAATATATGTTGTAGTTTAACATATACATTATGAATTATTAATATTTAATTTTCTAAATAAATTTTTAAATATTATAAACCATGGTAACCTTTCTCCTCTTCATTTTTGTACATAATACAATCGAGAGTCGTGCTTGATAAATACTTGAACATTATGTAAGAAATTTTCAAAAATTTACGAGCAAACAAAAGTATAAAGTAAGATAAGAGAGTTTCTGTTGCACCTAACATGATGGCACACGAAAAACTAATTTATCTTGACGCGTAGTGCAAAAAATGGAATCATTCACAATTTAATGCGGTTGTAGGAAACAGGAGCTTTAAGAAGCACGTTTTGTTGCTTAAATAAATTGCTAATCTCAACTGTTTTATGTTTGAGAAAAAGACGAAAGAAATCGGCGAATTGTGCGCTAAGAGACCCTTGCCGGTTTTGTGATTCTTATGAAAAATATGTGTACAGCAATAAATTTACTAAATAACAACAATAATAATTCTATCTATTAAAGAACAAAACATGAAGATGATTAAAGTTTTTTGCATCATTGTGTGCAATTTCGTGAGTTGCCGCTTATAAATCAACATATATTATAACTGAGCATTTTTTCTTTTTAAATAAAATCGATTTGTCAGTCTACTGTACCTTTTATTTTTCTTTCCGGATGAAGATCACCCCGCCAATGGAGAAGAGATGACATTATATACATAACTTCGAAAATAAAAGCCACTTGTATCTAAATGCAGGAATGACAAATGCAGTCATCCAATCACATATCCATATAGTTTTTCTCTCTGATTTGAATATTTTTAGATTCAGCACGTGATGCACGCAATTCAGTTTTACAAATTTCGTACAAAAATCGCTGCTAATACTTGGTTTATACTACTTTATTTATTTTGTTTTGCAATGCTTCTTATTCTGTCACCTGAGCGACGGAACCATTCTTTGATGGCTTCTTCTAACTCTGCAGACGTCGAACCGTTTCATCACCAAGTCTGAAATATGTACAATTAAAATTGCATTAATAGAAATAAAAATATAAACTAATATTTTAACCAATTAAATATAAGGCAATAGGTTTGTTCTGATTGATTACACTTTTTCACTTTTAAAAAAAGTGCAGATTTTTTTTTAATAATCAACCAATGAGAACTTGGACGTTTCATATAAGTGTAAAAGTATCGGTAGAGCACTATATAATATAGTGAGAAAAGGATTCAAAAATAGCGGATGCGAATACTCTGCATATTATAGTGCCTTAGTATAGGCAACCAAGCTATACATTCCAAAATTATCTGTTAGCATCGACAAGGTATTAAGAGGGCTAGGATGTATTAGTTGGACATTTATCTGATATCAGGAACAGTAGACATCTTACAATCTAATTTTGAATATAATTTTCTCATTTATGTTATTCACACTTGTTAAAAATATCTGTAAGCTGTGCCTTTATACTTTGATATGTAGTATTATGTATTTAGCTCCTCGATATTTTTAAATAACATTTATGATGGATTTCATGGACGCCACGAAGGTTGCGTGCAAAAGGATATGTTTCCAATATCACAAAAATGTTTTAAACCTTGTTGTTATGGGAAAGTAGGTATAATGGAATAAATGTTACCGATTATTAGTTTGGATATGGATGTGGATTTAAAGCCTACACCACTCTTCTGACGTCCATGATATTTTAGTGGCTGCTTCATTAGAGATAATTTGTGATAGAGTATTTCTAATAAACTGCTTACCCGTCGAACCTCCGATTCGACATATCATGTGTTCCTGTAATATAGTGACAAAAAGTATACAAAAATGGAATATTACGAATGGAAGAAATGTATATATGACAGCGAAAATGAAATACACATGTTTGAAAACTTATTTAGTCGATGGTTAATTTGGTACCAACCATCATACATCTTTTTATGCAATTTTGCCTTAATCTCTATTTGTATCATGTCATATCATACTTTAATATTATATCAAATTCTTTTCAATAAATCTCAATATAAAATTACCAAATTTAATACATATGAAAAAAGTCCTTGATGATACACGAGAAATTAAATATGACGAAATTCAAAAGTTATAAGATGGCGAGTAAATTTCTGAGAGAACATAATTTCCTTAACGGGCAATACAAGCATTTAAAGCAATATTTAATAAATATAACAATATGAATATACTTACAAATTGTTTTCTCATGTTGGTATCCACTTCCAACTGATTTTCGCACTGCAAAAACTGTTTAAGCGTCATTAGAGGCAATGGAGGTAACAAATCTCGTGCTACAACCTCATCGCTTCGTCCTGTATTCCTCTCTTTTAATAGAGCTTCAATAGCATACATTTGTCTGGACAATCTTTTCAGTTCCTTACGAGTGTAGTCTCTGCATTCGCCTGTAATGATATGAAGAAATTGTAACATAAAAACTGAATTAATATTAATAAACTGTTAATTATTTAATAAAATCAAATCTGTCTGTTATCACAATAACAATTACCATCATTGGCTATTGTTTTTTTATTATTTATTATTATAGGAACAGGAGAGTGAGTTTGTGACGTGCATTTACTGAATATAATTTTTATGTATTATAAGTTTTTGAATTGCACATATTTTTGTTTAAAAATATAATATAAAATATAAATATATCATAAAAATATAATATTAAGAAAGAGACATTAAAGAGACGAACTAGTAACAAATCAGTAATGTTCCTCTGTAACAAATTATTTGCTTACCACAGCAATTATTATGATTCTTCGTTAAGGGTTCATTTTTTATAATGTCGAAGCATGGTGAACCAGGTAAGTCTGAAAATCAAATATTTTATTAATATGTACGAGTATGCTACATATTAGAAAGATCCAATTGTGCTATTAATCAGAATTCCTGTGCATTAAGACGAGCATATTCGGGATAAATGAAGATAGAACGATGTCATTCGTAACAAATTTAAATATTGTAAATCTTGGATGATCAAACAAATAATTGTAAGGAAGAATTAAAAAAACCAAGTTTATATATGCATCCATGCGATCGTAATTCTTTCAATACATTTCAATATTAAGAAATTGTTATTAACAAAGTCGATTTTATATTATAATTTCATATCAATTTAATACAAATTCGTACGTTTCGGCTCCAGTTTTGAGCCTTCTTCAGCAATTTTTAACTAATAAATTTAAATATGGATCAACCACATTTCCGCAAATAATCGCATTACAAAGATTTAACATGATTTATTCATTTTTTAAAAATTCGTGAACAGACAAGTTATACATTTGATAATCTTTGTAATGCGATTATTTGCGGAAATGTGGTTGATCCATATTTGAATTTATATCAGTTAAAAATTGCTGAAGAAGGCTCAAAACTGGAGCCAAAACGTACGAATTTGTATTAAATTGATATGAAATTGTAATATAAAATCGACTTTGTTGATTTTTGTAACTTTGCTCTTAAACTTTCCAGAATTTTCCTAGCCATTAAATTGTCATTGTTTGTTTCTGGAGTTTATTATTATTGGTTGTAAATAATTTCTTACCTCTACGTTGTTGGGAAATTAGTGATTTATTAGCTGCAACATAAAAATTGATATATTAATATATAATTATAAATACATATATCAAATAATAAAAAAGTAGTTTCTTTCTTAATTTACAGGAACTGTCATTGGAGTAACAGAGTCATCGGAGGAGACTTCTCGGACTTTTCGCGATCGTTTCAATGGCTCTTCAAATGCAGCACGCATGGTATCAGTGTCAGCATCCGATGAAATATTTATTGATTTTTTTTCGATTTGCCGAGCTTCTTGGAAGGAATCTATTCAATAATAGTACAATGTAGCACAATAAATGTACGTATAATGCAATGTATTATTTTTAATTGATGTATTTAAGTTGTGTTTTTTGCAGTTCATAATGCACAAATGTATGAATTTGTCAAATACAATAATCTAATGAAATTCAAATATTAGGTGAATGCAAAAGTTTGTGCTTAATTATCATTAAAAATCATTACAAATCGAGCACTCACCTAATGTAACATTCACTATTATAGGTATCCCTAGTGAAAAATTTTCTTATAATTTTTATACGAATTGGAACATTTTTTAGAAATACTCAGAAATTTTCAGACAGTTCACAATTTCTTTCATAATTTTTCATACATGTGAATTCTGAAATATTTTTAGATTTCTCATCTCATAATTTTTAAAAAATATTTTTAAATTTTTTTAGATTTTATAACATTTCATCAGAAATTATACTTACAAAAAATTTTAGAAATTTTATGATATTTCATAATTAACATATAGGAAAATTCTAAGAAAAGATTTTCTGAGAAGTGTTCCAATTTGTATAAAAAAATATGAAAAAGTTATAAAATTATACAGAAATTCTGAAAAATTATATGAAAAATTCTGAGAAAAATTTTCATCAAGGATATTAAGTATAACTTACCAATTGGGCCAATGAGCTTGTTGTATGGAGTTAGAGTCCATGTATCGCTGGGTTCCATTTTCTTTGATAGTGCTATAGTGGCACTGATACCTTTTGGTGGCCACCAAATCATCGACTCACTTGCAAAAACCCATGAATCAGGAACTACGGAACACCAGTCGTCGCCAATAACAACGTACCATACCTTCACAAATAACAAATTTCACAGAGCAGTATCAATAGATTCATTCTTCATTTATACGAAATAATGATTTATATGAAAATAGCAGTTACAATGTTCCAAAGATCAAGCTGTTAATAAATTTTCTGTCAAAACTACTATATTTTAACAACATATGTACAATGTATTATATGTATATTTTACTTGAGATTACATTTTAATTGAGATTAAAATTCGTTATGTAATAAAGGAAATACAAGGTATGTTGAGTCATTTTCAAAATCCATTTGAAATGCTTTATTTTTAATTAAAAAAACTGGCCACATTTGCAAGGCCGATAAGTCTGTAACAACGTATATTCCTAAATTTCCTGAATCGCAGGGATAATTAGGTAACGTTGAAATATTCGTAAACTTTTGACCAATAATCGTTGGAATTTCATGATAATAACCAATATGGGAAATACAAACAATGCTTATGGCATTGTTTTCTTCAATGTAGCAGCAATTATTATATTTTTTCGTTGTCAAGACAAACGAAGAAAATTTTATCTGATTGTGTGCGTTACAGCAATCCAATGGTAAGTTTTGATTGATCTTTTTCTGCAGCTGAGGATACTGGTGATCATAAAATCGTTTATTTTCAGTACGAAACAATGAGGATTGCTCGTGTAATCTGTTACAGATCTGTTGCAATGGTTTATCAAACTTTCTAAGAAGTTTTTTCAGAATAAAAAGGAAATTCTCAAATGGGAAAGCACTAAAAGAATCTAGTGGTTCTAATCTTTTTGCATCAGCAGCTAAATGTATTAAATTGTGCATGTTGTAGGTAACATTCTGTGGCCCATACAGAATGCTCACGTTTTGAACGAAATATACCAGAAGATCATGTGCATATTGTTTCTGTCATAATCGTCAACGCTACATAAAATTCTCATTGCACAATTCAGGGCATTAAAATGTATATATTTTTCTTCCGGCAATATATTATATATCTAATAATAAGAACTAGTGGTCCTAAATAAAGAAGAAAAGTGCGATGTTGAGTTGCTTTCCATCTGTGATAATCATCCAAAAGATTTTCGAGCAAACTCTGTTGGAATACACTTTGACACATTTATCAGTGCATTTGACAAAATGTTAAGATGAACTTGGGCTACTCTGGAAGTTTTCGACCTATCTATCCATAACTTTAGAAGTTGCTTATTTATACCAAGACAGGAATTATGCATGTAGTCTATAGGAAAATGACTTACCATTGGAACTGAAATCAATTCAAATGGCGAAGAAATATCTTGAAGATGATGTTCCGGTTGTGACCTATTAATGAAATTAATATCAGTCCGAAGTGGAGCAGTGGTATTCAAAAAAGTCATTCGCCTGTTTATGCTTTCGTCCCTTACAGTGCATTTTCCACAGGCAAAATGTCCATTATGCGATTTTGTGCAAGTAATATATGCTCGAGCAGGAGCATCACAGATAACAGCACAGGATATTGATTTGCAGGAGCTGTTCATTGATTAAGAATCCATTGTTTTTTAAATTTAGATATTCATCCACAAATGGTTGAAGAAATTCGGCTAAGCAAGCTTTCTGATACCATGATAAACACCGATGACAAATGGTGCAAATGGCAAACCAGAAATTCTGCCTAAAATCGGCCAAAGCTAACTCTTTGAGCTTTTCGAAATTGGTAAGCCATCAATGTTTAAATCCAAATAGATTACATCACAATAGTCGAAAGCATGAGGAAAACGATTACCGATTGATATAAGCGCTTTTAATAAACCATAGTGAACGTACTGATTTTTAGAAAGAGTTTTAATATCATGAGTATCTGGTCTTGGGGTGTTCAAAAGTGTTCGCGCATTCCGAGGTAAATCGTCATGCCCGTGTCTTGAAAGAACTCGTAATAATGAGGTTAATGCATTTTGATTAATTTGAAATTCATTTGCCCAATTGCATAGTTCATCTGTCAAAGGCAAATGTATATTTCCCTGCTGATATTGCGGGTTGATTTGAAATTCGTCACTGCTTGTCTCTGATGATGAAAGTACACTACTGGCATTGTCATTGTGACTAATATCAGTTTCTAATAAATGTGAATATTGCGAATTATCTGAATATTGTAAATGATTGGCCTCCATCATGCCATCTTCAATCTCAGGCTCTTCAAATTCGAAGGCCGATGAACATGATGGACCATCAATTGGATTACTGTCATTTAGAAGTGAAACCGGCTGAGAGGTTACTTCACGATTTGAATTGTAAGAAAGTAAAGTTCGCCGATTTCGTTGACGTTTCGACAACTCAGAAAATTGTTTGGGCATTTTCAGATTTTTTAGTTATCTAATCATAAACATTCGATAAATAATTAACCTACAAAATCCGGCTGACTATATGCGCGTTATTTTAAATGTCTTTAATTAATAATTAAATACATAAATGATTTTACACAAAAATACATTACCATAATTGCGCTCGCATAACTGATGTTCCCAAACTTTAACAATTCTATTCTTCTTTATTATAATAGCTATAAGACTCCCGCAATTTCTGCAATCGCCATTTGCCATTTATTCTGTTGTATGCTGCATCGTGTGCAATCACGTGTGAATACACTGCAGCGACATCTCACGAATATTTTGTGCAGGCTTTTTGACAAGTCGACTTAAAGTCGACTTAAGTCAACTATTTTAGAAGTGTAGTCTTAAATTTTATATATTCTAGGCTGCAATGGTCCGATTCATGCCCACAGCGCTCGTGAACAGCATTCGTTCTTGTTTAACTATATAGTTAAACAAGAACGAAATGATATTTATAATTGCGCCTTTGTGAGCATGGACGTCCTAAAGTCGACATTTGAAGGACGTCTGTACAAAGTCGTCTTACAGTTGTCTCATAAAGGTCTGACTTAGCAAAGTCAACTTACAGTCGACGTATCGACATTTGTGCTGTTAGGGGTTCTTCTGAAGAATGGAATGAATGGCTGCGTTCAGCAGACTCAACAGTTTTGCAACCGTTTTATGATTGTCTGCTGAGATAGGACCATTCTTCTAGATCTAAAAGTATGATCCAATTAGCGCGAAGGAAACTTCCAACAGTTGCAAAACAAACGTGCTGAACGCACCATTGTGATTGGCCAATTTCGTAAGGCCGGAATCAGACTACTCATTGAAGATTGAGATTGAAGATTGAAAAATTCAAATTTGACCAATCGAAACGAAAGGAGCTAAAATTTCTTTGTCCTTATTGGTCAAATTTCAATCTTCAATCTTCAACCTCAATCTTCAATGCGTAGTCTGATTCCGGCCTAACATCGACGTTATAACTTCGGCGTAAATCGAACCGTGTAAATGTAGTCATTGGGTGTATTCAGTACCACGACCGCTCACTGAGCGCTCA